AGGAATGTTATAAAATCCTATTTACAGGATAACAGGTTTGTATACATTTTTAAACATTTATATAAAATTAAAAGCACTTATAATTGATATATATGGTAATTATATAAATAAATGAATTCCCATCAAATACAGGATATGATTCCTATAAGAATGAAGAGAGTGATTAAGAAAAATTACAAACAGATTTCAACTCTGCCCATAATATTTTATTTCTTGAGCAAGTATGAAAAACTACTAATGTGAATTCAGAATAGTAGACATATAGATCTCTTTTATTAAATTCTTTTCCCTGTGTTTTTACAGCGCTGCCTTCTCCCCATTCATATGTCACAGTCACAAAGTCGTCAGTGGTGAGTAAGGGTTCCACCATGCAGAGGGCTTCCCAGTGACACCCTTGTCTCTTCATTTTCTTTCAGAAGATTTAATGAATTTTTGTTTACCTAGGATTTAGTTCTAAATAAGCCAATCTTTAAAACTTGGATGAGAAAAAACTAATGTAAAATAATTCTGCAAATTGCAAATAACTTCAAATTGAAAATAATTCTAACAATGATACAGTCACAAACTACTAACTAGCAAATGAGGGAGTTAGCATTTCTCCTACTCCTATGACAAGTTCTTTAATGAACAATCTAGTCGGATCAAATGATGTCAACCCGCAAAACTGAAGCAATAAAGAAAAATATCAAAAATATTTGTGGATCAATGTCTTACATTATTAATGATGAATATTGCCCCAAATCTATTATTTTCTTAAAAGAGTTACTCACGATCTTATGAATTGACATTTTATAACATTGTTCATCTTTTTCCCAATCTCTTTAATTTATATTTTGTGTATGCTTACTGTGTAACATTAATATAATAGTGCATGTATACAATTTACAAATATATGAAATATCCACACTCACATACCATTTTGTGTTTAACTGACAGGCATGTACAAGCAGAAAAACTGAAATCTACTGGTCTATACTATTGATGGATCCAGGGTTTATGGAGGCTGAAGCTCAACAATTTATATGATCCTTTTTATGAAAAATAGTACAAAATGCTATAAAGATATGAATACAAAATTAGACAAGACATGAATATTTATTTAGAATAAGAAAATAAGTCAACAAATTACTTAGTTTGAAAAGTTTACAAGTACTACTAACATCACAAAATCTAGTAAAATAGTGTGATTTTTTTCATTAAATCCTGATACCACTACAGACTCCTAAAATTTTACAGGCAGAAAACAGCCTAATAAAACTTCTCAGCCGCAATGCATGCTCCTCATCATGAAAAAGAAGGATAACTCTGAGGGCAGAGCCATAGGCCCCAAGAATTATTCCCAGGCCTCATAACCTCATGTTGCTTGTTCAGCTAGATTTCAAAATTGCTTAAAATGGTGACTACATTTTCCATCCTATTTTCCCTCTTCTTAAACAGGAATATCTATAATTGATATCCTATATCTATCCCACAATTTTATTTTCAGAGCAGACAACTTATTTTCTATTTTTACAGGCTGACAAATGGAGAAAAATTTTTTCCAAAGTCTTATTTACCAAAGCCCTTACCCATACGTAATTTAAATGATTTATATAACACTTGGTACCTTTGAACTGATGAGACTTAGATGAGATTTTGGACTTAAGTTGATGTTTTTAATGGAGTGGGGTGTTGGGGGAGGTTGAGATTGAATGAATGTACTTTGCATATAGAAAGGACATAAATCTTTATGGTCTCCGAGGGCAGTCTGTGTGTGGCAGACCAATAATGCCCAACCCAAGATGCCCATGTCTTGATCCAGGAAACTGTAAATATGTTCATTTATATAGAAAAAAGGATTTTGCAGATGTGATTAAGTTAAGAATCCTAGGGGAAGGCTGGGGATTTACCTCAGTGGCACACGCCTGGCCTGCCTCACAAGCCTAAGGTTGTGAGTTCCATCCCTGGTACCAAAATAAAAGAATTCTAGGGGAGATTATCCTGTATTATCTGGGTCAGCTCAGTGTAATCACAAAGGTCCTTAGATAAGAGCCAGGCATGGTGGCACATACCTGTAACCCCTGCACTCAGAAGCTTGAAGCAAGAGGATCACTGAAGTTCAAAGCCAGTCTGAGCTACATAGTGAGTTCAAGTTTAGCCTGGACTACATGGCCAGACCCTGTCTCAAAGAAAAACAAAAGGAGGCAAGAAGAGAGTCCAAGTCAGATAAAAAAAGATGTGATGATGGAAGCAGAGAGAGACTGACAGTGCAATGCTATGGGCTTTGAAGAAGGAGGGAGGAGTGATGAGCTAAGGAAAGCAGGTGGCCCCTGGCAACAAGAAAGAGCATCCAAAAGCTATCTAATGCCTTGAATTTAGCCCAGTGACTCTGATTTCAACCTTCCAATCTACACACCCATAAGATTGTGTTGTTCTTTTTATCTTTAGGCACTAAGTTGAGGGTCATTTGTTATAGCAGCAGTAGGACACCGATACAATACCCTAAAGATATATCTCTACCAGGATTCAGAAATTTCTCCCTTGATTAACTAAGATATTTCAAAATATCTTTCCAAATTGCTGCTAAATGGCATGATAAGCCTTGACTAGTTTTTGTATCTTGTTCATACTTGAATTTCTTTCCTAGTCTTCAATGCATTACGTTCACGTTGCAAGGTTTGAAAAGCCTTTTAATGAGGAAACTCTCTTATCACACACAGACTCTTTAAAAAGTGTACAAGTCTGCTTGTATACTTAAACTATAACAGTTATGATAAGCAAGAGAAGGACATATAATTATGACAATACACCAAAATGATAAAACTTCAAGTATTGTGGAGGCAGTTATTTCTTCCATCATTAAAGATAGGAGCCACACATCCTGCATACCTCTTAATGTCCTTAAAGAGTACTTGTGTCCCATTGTCCTGCCTAGTCCTATTGACTGCAAGTATTCTTCAGTTGCAGGTACAACCACCCAAGACCTTGTTTCATTGTACTGAATAAAGTCCCTGATAGAGAGTTTTCACTTGGTTAAAAATGTTAAAATAACCAGTAATCACCAACTGGTTGATGTTTGTCACATCCACTGCAGAATCTATAATTAATGGGGTAGTATTTGCTATCTGGGTAATTAACTTAATTTCCCTCTTCACTTTCTCACTGATTCCATTCAAGTTTGAATAAATAAATCCCATTTGTTTATTAATATTGATGTTTTTCTAAGTGTTTGTGCAATAATCAATAAAATTCAGCAATTTGTTTAATGGTTCCCTGAAATTTCTGTTTTTTGAAGAAGTTCACTTCCTAGTAACTTCTGAAGGTAAAACCCTTTCTAACTGCACCTACTCTTTAATAGAAAAATAATTTTGAATGTCTTATCTGTTCTTCAAGACATTGATCTAGTACATTTTTATTTGATTTTCAGGTTTTCCAAGTAAACATAGTTTTCTGGTGCTTTGTGGAGTCTTCATGACTTAATATATTCATCCAATCTGTTTTGTTAAAGAGTCAGAGCAATAACTTTTAGTCTTGTGCTAGATTAATAACTGCTTAATTTAACTATTGACAATACAAATTTTATATTATTTGCTTCTCTTTAAATACTGTTGGAATATGATTTAGGGAAAAGTGTTTCATTAAACAATGTTGAATAGAATTATTGCATATTATAATAGACCAAAGATCACAGTTCTTATTGAACTCAATGTATTTATAACCTACCCATGTACTACCCTGTTGACACTACAAATTGTTTTCTTTTTTTTATAAAGCATAATAAATTTTATTTTTTAAGAATGAAAGTGTCCCTGAATATTTAAGTGTAACTTTTAGTAGTAGTCAGTGTCTAATAAACAATCAATTTTATATGTTCCATATAGCTACATTAAATGATTTTTAAGTTTAAAAGATAATGTAATTCCCATCATTTGTAATACTGGCATTCAAAAGCAAAGGTATAACTGGGGGAAAAAAGATGAAACAAAAAATGATTTGCAAGATGCAAAATGTAGTACTTACAAATGTAAAGCAGATTCCAGTTGTAATAATGATTACATTCTCACCACACACACACACACACATACACACACACACACACACACCCCAACCCCTATATTCCACACATTTTCTAGAACTTGAAAATAGTTATTTCACATCTCAGTTCAGATTATGATTTTTTACAAATTAATCCTACAATCATAAAGCAAGGAGCCATTAATAGAATAAGATTTTATTTGCTAAGTATAACAAACATCTAAAGAAAAATTATTACAGTGATACTCAAAGATATTTTATTGGCTTTTTAAGAGACAATGTAAAATGAGAATATCTTATTTGGAAAATTAATTTTTAAAACTGTCTTAAATGAAATAAATATAATATCTAATACAATCTCTTCCTGTAAGAATCTCTAAGATGGATAACCCTAAAAATCAAGCTTCTCACTTGAAAATCCCTAAAACTAGCATGTCCCTTAAAAATGTTTTTTTTTCCTACAATTTGTCCTAAAACAAACTCTAACACTCAAATTTTCTATATGTATTTAGTTCACTTAATTTAAAATTAATGCAGATAATGACACAATTTCTAAGAAAACAATGTAAAAAGTAATTTATGCATGGTTATTTACAATGTTTTCCTAAGTAATATCGTACTCAAAAATTTTGACAAATCCTTTCAAACAATCAGCACTGCAGTTTTAATAAACTTTATGTATAACAAAGAATATTTCATGTGTAGAATTACTAGATGGACCTAAGAGCCAGAAACTAAAGCATTTGACATGGTTAATAATTTCATTTTTATTATACTTACAGTCAAGTCAGAAGTCAATGGCATTTACATGCTGGAAGACTTTTATCACTCAACTCTTTCAATTGTATCATAACACTGATTAGCCAAATATTACTGGATTTTACTCTTACAACTTTACAGTTTCTTCAAGTATATTTAAAATTTTTTAAATGGGCACATATGCAAATGTGCAAACCAAATGACATAAATAATTAAAGAAAGAACAGAAATGGCTTTTAAGCATAACCACCCTGACATTTAATTTTGAAGCTCCATCTTTTCAGTAATTTTTCTTCTATTAGTAGTCTTCTATTCCACTAAAGTTGTAGATTTACAGATGACCTGGAAATTTCACATTGGTATAAGAAAGGCATGTTGGGTTGATGCAGTCTCTACAATAAGAAGAAATATCTTGTTCTATGATCAGCTGCCATACATTCAGACATGTTTCTGACTTTTAGATAATTAACAAAGCCTCTGAAGAAAAGGAGAAGGCCAAGTACAAGAAATATCCACCAAAGCCAATACTGTCCATTGAAATATCCAGTAAAATAATCAGAAAACCTCACAATAAGGATCCATTTGATCAATGAAAGGCCAAATCCACAGATAGCACCATACCTTCCGGCTATAGTATTAGTGATACAGAAGGATAAACAAAATCCAAGCCAGTTGAATATAAATGCCATAAAAAATACCAGCTTGAAAATCCCGTCGTTGCCCACTCCAAGCTGGTCTGCGTCACTGAAGTCATCCCTTGGCAGACACTCCTCCTCCTGATTTCTTTTGAGATGTTTCTGCTGCTGCAGCTGCCATTGCGGCAGCTTTAGCCTTCTCAGCTTCATCGTACGTAGGAAGAGACGTAGCAACACTGTACGGAGGTGGCACTGGATAAAACTCACTGTAAACTTCTGTATCCGAAGTTGTAGGTACTTCCGTGGTAATACTATTATAAGGTGGAGGAGAAATATCAGTTTCAAGTGCTGGTGCTGAAGGAGAACTCTGCACAACTTGTGGTGTTGAGTTTGAAGTGGATGGCTGCTCTACAGCAGGTGATTCTGAATTGTCCTCTTCATTGTGAAGCACCTGGTAACGGCCAGTCCCCGGCTGGTGATGATCCATCCTGCTGGGCTCGGGATCCGGCTTTCGCACGGGCAAGTCACCTTGGAGCTCAGCAACCTCGGCCTCCCTGGTCGGCCTGTGTTTTCTTTATTATTACCTTCATCTTCTGCTTTTCCAGTTCCTCTATCTGTGTTTGATGCATATAATCTTCTCTCTTTTCTCCTGTTGTCATTTTCATTGCCTATATTTTCTTGGCTATAGTGTTTTTTCCTTGATGTCATGACTTTTGATCTTCAGAATGTCCGGTCTCTACCATAATGTAAGAGTGGTTTTTACCATACTTAAGCTTCTTCTGATATTTTTTTCAGTTTTTGTTTTTGGCTTCTACTAAGATAACTTTCTGTCATATTGATTGGTCAATATTTCTGAATAAAGATGCACAAAATTAATATGCAATTAATGCACTCACAAGAGCAATTAATATGCTACTGCATCGTGTTGAGGTACATAATTATGCATTATCAAATTGCTATTTTACTCCATACACTGACATACAGATAAATAGGTGCCAGTGGTTTTCCCACTGGAACACTTGTTTCTTCAAGTCATTTTTTTGTATTAGTATCAATTTTGCATACTGCTTTATGCAGAACTGCCATACCTCATCTGGACAACATGAATCATATATACTAAAACACAGTCCAATACACTGGGATGCATAAACACAAGATTTCATACACACAGTCACTACATGTAGTTCTACAGGTTGGAGCCTTACAAACACAGAAATTCTGATATACCCTTTTCAATTATATTTCCATCAAGAAAAGAAAAATATTTATGGTATATTTTTAATCTTTTATGCTGCATTACTGGCTTTATTTCTGCCAGATCAGAACTTACATTTTTTTTTGTATTAAATTCTTTTATTGGTACATTGTAGGTATACAACACAATTACATTTCTCATTGGGAATTGTACCTTTATATAATGCATCTTGGTTCTTATTTTTTCCCCCAGAACTTACATTTTGATTGGACATTGATAATAAACCAAACCCACACAGACATAAAACTTTACATGTCTAGTGATTGAAAGGACATTGCAAAGACTGGCTTCCAGCTCGGTACATTTCAAACCTTGTTTCTCCTCCATTAACCACATGGTATCTGTGCCAGATACTACAGACACATTTGTTAATACAGCACAAACCTGACTCCGCACTTTGGGCAGAGTGGGAAGTAGGAATCTTCTTGGAAGAAATTCCTATTGTAGTAATCTAACTATATACAGAAATGATTTTGAATTTCATAAATAATAGTTCACTAAACCCAAACTCAATGCATCTTCATCAACTGTCCACTAGTCAGACCCCAAAATTTCCCATGGCCAGTCCAATAGGAGAGAAAATATAATGGAGGAGAAGGAGGAATGGAAGGAAATGGCAGTATTAACTGATTGCAGCTAAACATTTTATTTCTGCAAATGTTACAGAAACATATGACAATGGGAACACATTGTTTGGGTTTCTCTAGACTCTTAGAAGGGGCCCATTAGTTTTGCAGTAAATTTAACGTTGGTTCGCACAGCAGCCAAAGTGGTTTTTTTTTAGTTATAAAACAGATGTGCCAGTCCCTTGTCTTACAGTTGCTGCTGATTTCCCCTTGAATTTTTGTTTTTGTTTTTCTGTTGTTGTTTTTGAGACATGGTCTCACTTTGTAGTTCAGGCTGACCTTGAACTCACAATGTAACCCGGGCTGGCCTCAAATTCATGGTCATCCTGCCTCAGACCCCCAAGGACTGGGATTACAGGCATACACCACCACGCCGGGCTTCCCATTGCATTCAGAAGGAAACATAAACTCTTTACCAGGCCTGATCTGGTTTTTGTTTGTATCTCTAATTCCACTACTGCTTGCTCCTGCTTACTACAATTTATCCACAAGGCATAGTTCTCAGCCTGAATGGATAAATCAGCCTTTGGGTGTTTATTAACCCATGACATCAGTATTTCCTCTATTCTGAGTGTCAGGTTCTTCACATGTGTAATATAAGAAAAATTTAAGAACCTCCTTGTATTAATCACTTCCCCATCACTGGGACACAATATCCAACACCTACAACTTAAAGGAGGAGAAGTTTAATTTGTCTGGAGCTTCCAGGACATTTGGTATTTGTTTTCCAGGCTCCAAGGCAGGAACATTAAGGTGGAAGGCCATGGTAGAGCACAGTTGCTTAGTTCAGCCAAGCATGATGGCACATGCCTATAATCCCAGCACACAGGAGGATTTCTGCAAGTTTGAGGCCAGCCTGGGCTACATAGTGAGTTCAAGGACAGCCTGTACTGCATAGCACGGCTCTGTCTCAAAACAAAATAAAACAAAACAAAAAAGCTGTTTATTTTATGGCAGCCAGAAAGCAGAGGAGGGGAGCAGTGCTGGAGAGGCAGGGGCAAGGGAATAGACATATATCCTAAAGCCACATCTCCATAGCCCTAGACGCAGCCTGAAGTGTGCTCCACCACTCTCCAGTGTGGCTCCCAAAGCCAGTCAGTTGATATTCCATCCTAACTGCCACACTGCTGAAAAGTACTCTTCTACATTGTGCTTTTTCTTTCTAGTACACTTATATCAATCAATTGCTATATGAAATTCTAATAGACATTAGCACTAACTTACAATTTAAAAACCAAGAAAGGAAAGAAACCAAGGCTTCGTGGAAAAATGGTTGCTTCCAAACCTGGGGAGGGTCATGGATAAAATGAGCCTGGGAACTCTTATGACACCAGAAAACAAGGAATTCATCAAAGACTAGAGGGGTCATATCAAAAGCCTAAAGGAGCCAATATGAAAGGGATGGAACAATGAGAATCAATAAGGATAATAACTACAATTATAATGCATTGAAACATATTAAGTCTCATGCTCTACTGACTGAACTAGCTGGGCTACATCATTGAAACATATTAAACATGTTCAAATCCATGAGTTTACAGTGATATGCAGTTATAAATCATTGGTCATTCTTGGAGGATACCAGTGAAATAATTCATTATTGTGAAAACCAATAAATGGGAGGGGGCAAGCATTTATCCTACCTTTCCTGTAGAAACTGTACCACCTAATAAACAATAGAAATGGGAAAGTTATACTCTATATAGAAGTATTGCAGATTATAAATGAAAAAATGATATATTTAACATATCATTCATTTTGTACCTCCAATGAAGTATTCTGTTTAAACAAAATGAAGAAGGAGGGAAGGAGAAAGGAATAGAGGGAGGGAGATGTTATGACTTGTATCTAAATGTCCCCCCAAAGTCTCATATGTTCATATGTGGGGCTTTTCAGAGATAGCTGGATTTAGGGGGTGTGAATATGGATCAAGAGTGCGATGACTAAGTTAGTCCACTGATTGATTTAGCACAGTTCTGGGTGTAACAGGAAGGTCCAATCTGGGTGTTGGTGGCAACAACCAGGCTTGTAGCCTGGATGGGATAAAAGGGAAAGAGAGGCTTCCTGCTTGCTGCTGCTTCCTTCCTGCCTTGCCATGGACTGTTTCTCCTCTGTGATGCCCCCCTGCCATGCTACCCTGCATTGAAGCCAGCCAACTACTGACTGAAACCCCTACAAACTGGGAGCTAAAATAAACCTTTCCTTCTTTGGCTTGTGGGTGTCCAGTATTTTGTCCTACCAATGAGAAAAATAACTGAGACAGGAGGAATGGATGGAGAGAGGAAAGAGGAGAGATGGATACAGGGAGGGATACAAAGAGAGAGAAAAGGGGAGAGGGAGACAGAGACAGATAAAAGGAAGAAGGAGGAGAAATATGAGGGACAGTGATGACAGAAGAATAAGTTAAATCTCATCATAAGAAGCACAATCCAAACTGTGCAATGTTTGTTGGGACAAATGACCTGTTTTCTACCACAAACATATAATTTCAAGGAAAAAAGAAGAGATAGAAGAAAATAAATTAGATTCAAAACACGTATAAACTAATAATAACATAGACTTTATTCAGATCCTAACTCACACTTTAAAAATTATGCACCTAAAAGAAATAAAAATACATGTCCATGCACAAACCTGTACATGATAGGTCATAGGAGCCTTACTCATAATAGCTCAAAATTGAAAACAACCTAAATGTCTATCAACTGATATATGGATGAATAAGTAGCATATCCATTGATGGAAAATTATTTGGCAATAAGAAGGAATGAAGTACTGATATATGTTACAGTATGGATAAACCTTGAAAACATTATGCTAAGTGAAAAAAAGCTAGTCACAAAAGATCACATATTAGAGAAAGAAATAAAAGGAATAAAGATTGGAAATGAAGAGGTTACATTGTCATTGTTTGCAGATGACATGATACTCTATACACACAACCCCAAGAACCCCACCAAAAGTCTTCTAGACTTAATAACCAAGTTCAGTAGAGTAGCTGGATACAAGGTCAACAAACAAAAATCAATAACCATCCTGAATACGAACAACAAACTCACTGAGAGACAAATTGGAGAAACAACTCCTTTCATAATAGCATCCAAAAAAAATGAAATACCTAGGAATCAGCCTAAGAAAAGAAATCAAAGGGCTGGGGATTTAGCTCAGTGGTTTTG